AGAAGGCAGTTATATTTCCTCTCAGACAGTCACTCAGAAGATGATGGCATTTTCGGGTCAGCATCTTTGAAGTGTGAATGTAGCATGCTCAATTTTGCAGGTTGTTTTCAATAATTTACCTAAAATGCGTGTGTGTGTGTGTGTGTGTGTGTGTGTGTGTGGCCGTCTGCAGGTTGCTGCAGGTATACGTATGAAGGTCCACGTCACCCCCAGCTGCCTCCCAGTGCTGATCACTCATTGCCGCTGTTGTTACACACACAGCACAGCCACGGGTGATGTAATTGGATTGCATGGGTCCACATTTTATAGTCCATTGCCATGTAATGAAATCAGTTATTTACTTTCATCATAAAATCTGATAAGGGACAACATCTGCCAGGGTAAAGTTTGAGTGAGTACCGCACATGAATGTTGATGTGCGAGCGGTCTGCAACATCCGGATCTGCTGCACTGGGAAGCTGTGGAGAATCAACACTTGGTTGTAAACTTGTCATTTGACAATTTATTTAGTTATTTTGTTTACCTTCAGCAGCATAACTAGCATACTGGCATGTAACAACAGCAATGGCAAACACTGCTTTCCCACACTGAAGAGAGGAGAGTGCAGCAAAGTGTCTTGTTTCTGAGTCCCTGCTCCGCTCTGCCTGCTGTCTCATTATACTGCCGCTGTGCTGCTGGAGGACACTGAAGGACAGAAGCGATTGAATTCAAGTGTTGTATATTCCCTGGAAACCAATCAAGAAAAACCCCAGAATAATAATCCCTGTCCGCTGTCATGATTCATTTTTATTTTGTTCCATATTTTTCTCTGGCTTTTGAGTCACTCAGAAAGAGTAGTTCCAGCATAAAATCAATGTTCCATTAAAATTTAATGACCAGGAAGGGCTTAATAGTGGTGGAACAGATGCCTCTGCTTTTGATAACGCCGACATCTCAGGAACTCTTATTCAAAGCTATATTGGTGTTGTCAGGTCCTCTGACCGCTCCTGCTCTCAGCCACCGTGAAAAAAAAACTAAAGGATATTGGCATTTTTGGTGCCGTGTAGCCGTGAAATTAAAAGTTAGTAAATTGACAGTAAAGCTCATAAGATTGATCAAACATTGACAGAGGAGGCTACAGCTGATGGCACATTATAGTCATAACTATAATTACTCAGTGTGTTAATGTTGACTAAGGGCTATACCAGACAGATTCCAGATTCTCTGCGTTGTTAGATATATATTATGAGAAAACGGTGTAAGATATAAAAATGTGTTTGAATGAACAGGTTGGCCTCTCAGTGAACATCTTCAGGGTGTGTGTGCATTCTCAGTCATAAAAAAACACAAAAATACCCCTTTTCTCCTCCTACTTAAAAGAAATAAGAGTGGACTTGTGGTTTTTCCTTGTGCTATTGTTTTTATTAACGTTATCATTGCTATTGTTGTCATCATTATTAATTGTAGCAGAACAAGATAAATCAAAACACCCCTCAGCAATCATGGCTTAAGTTTCTTCATACTCAGCTGGAACAGAGAGATAGAAAGATAAAGAGAGAAAGAGAGACAGAGAGAGAGAGAGTGAGAAAGAAAGTGGAAAATCTTAATCAGTTTTTTTTTTTTTTTTTCTCTTTGAGGACCATATGGAAGGTTTCAAGCAGCCAACCATATGTTGAAGGCTTTTGTCATGGAAATCATACTTTTTGGCACTTTTTCATTGCGCAGCCAAGCCGGGCACATAAATAAAAGAAAACAAGAACAGAAGAAAAACTCATACAGAACATGATCAAATCTTTGAGAATACACAGAGTTTGAAGTTTTTGTTTGTAACTTACAACAGATAGCTTTTTTAATCAAGACACTCCCTGATTCACATGGCCACCCAGACTGCAATTGGTACCTGTATTTGTCTCTCTTTTTTTTTAAATAAAAAAAAAGACAACATGAATAGAAAAAGAGCAATTAAATGTCTACATGCATTGTCATATTATTGCTGTGATATATTTACAAATATATTTACAAAATCATCAAAGAGGAACAATGTTTCCCTACATCTAAATTCAGAGGTTTAGAATCAAACTGCGCCTCCTTTTCTGTAATCAGTATTTTCTCTGAGGACGATCTCTAATACTGCCAGTTTTAGATACAAGCCTACAGTACGTTTCCAATCGATGTTTTTTTTTAACGGTCTCATTGCTTTTATATGCCTTATTAAAACACAATCCCCAGGTTTTTGAGATGCATTGTATCTCTGTCCCACAGTAAAATAGTAAACGTATAAAAAAATAATCTATAGGAAGTAGTCATTTCTGCATTAGTTCAATAATACAGCGACGTGCCAAAACTGTGTGTTCTGCAAGTTAATCAGGAGACAGGTGGTTTGGATGCTCTCATGCAGTGATTCAGCTGTAGCACTTAGACGACCATTGACAGGATGATGGTGAAACAGGGAGGAGAGGACGGATAAACAGATCAGAAACTCCTCTTTTCTCCTCACTTTTGTGGGGTTTTTTTGTTGTTTTTTTTTTAGGGCGAGCTCAGCATTACTGCAATCGTGTCATCCATTTGGAATATGCAAATAGCTGACAGTGCATTTGCCTGCTGGTGCTTGACCTTCTCCTTGGAGGTCGCTCACCGACTCAATTACGCTCCCTATCTGCAGTCTGTCTGCAAACACCTGTTATCCTCCCACACTCCGCCACCCTCCGTCAATCCCACTTCAGCACATCTCATCCTCGGTGCGTCTGTTTAGAGGCAGTTGGGATGGGATGAGGACGGCTGGTAGGGGAGGGACGCAAGGCAGGGACAAATGAGTTTGAAGTGCATTACAGCGCGTCGTTTTATAACAACAATCTCCAAAAAACTTTCTCTACCAAGACAGTTCACGTCAAGATAATTTCCATTAGTGCTGGTTAAGACGTATATACCTTCATCCTTATGTTGCCTCAGGAGGATTCTCTCTTCTGACACCTGATTTGCTTAGCTGTGTTAAACTGCTACAGATTCATTTGGAAGCAGTAGTCACTTTGACTTTAACTATATTCAAATGATTTATTATGTCAGTGACCTAAATGGGAATTATTTTAATCCTGTTGTGTAATACGTAACTTTTCTTGCAATTCAGTCAAATAATACCTGACCTTCAGCTGCCAGAAGAGATTTTTTTTAAAAACCTGGTTGCTTTTAAAAACAAAAGAGACACTAAAGATGATAATAATAGTATAGAATAGCAGCCTTTTTTCCAGTCAAATTAACACTTGTAGCAGTTTTGGACTCCCTGTATAAAGGACTGAGTGTTGCTCCTAGTTACTGCATCACTATCATTATTGCTTTTGCATCTTTGAAACCTTGGTGTAGTTAGATTACACCTACATTATTTGGCTCTCTAATTTTAACAGATAGTGTTACATTTCCACTGTAACATGTACATGCACATCGACGTCAGCCATTTCTGGGAATTATTTATTGCCTGAGATTTTAAGTCAAAAAAGGGGCCAAAAATCTCCAGTGACGAAGAGGCGGTGGACTTTTGGAAAACAGCAAGATGGAAAATATTTTAGCATTTCGTTTTCATCGTTTCTTTTTATTGCCCTAAATCGACTGAAAACAGGACAGCTGTGATTGTTATACATGTCAATTGCTGTGTCAGTAAAGTTATTGCCACGAAAACAAAAGTAATTCTGCATTCATTTGTTTTGAAGTCTCCTAACACTTGTACTGTACATTGTTCCTCTTTAAAAAACTAAGTCCCACGGACTCTCTACAGTTTTCATGCATATAAACATTTTCTTTGAAGATCAGCAGCATCTTACAAGGTCAATGGATGTTCATTTTTTAAATTATAAACAATAAATAAATACATGATAATTAACAAATAAGCAAGTTTTCAATAAATACACAAAAATAAGGTCAATAAATAAATAGATAAATAGGTAGATAAATAAAGTATTTACATGATAAATAGATGGTATGCATCTAAACCGTGGGCGGAGCTTTGAGCGACATATAAAACAGACAAACAGAATAATTTGACTGTCACTTTGTAACTGAGGGTGTGCGAGTCCATACCTTCACTCTGAGGTAACACTGGCGGAGGGGGAGCACCTCAAACACTGGGCGAAGATTGCTCTTTAAGACGGGATGATGCACCATAAAGGCAGCAGAGTTTATGCAAGCCACCATGGTGGAGGAAGAACAACGAGTTTTCATTGCTATAGACAAGTCAACCGCACATGGCACTTATAACAATAGATCATTTGGTCTGGCTCCCAGTGTTTTAGTCCAAGTCTGTACATCAGGGTGAGACTATGAATTTGATCGGACGGAGTGTGTGAAAACCTGTTCAACAGGCCTGTTAAACATTTTAAAATCACTGCTCTTGCAGAATTAAATTGAATGACCTATGGCCTATAGCTTATTTAAATTAGCTTTTTTTTTGAATACCCACAGTTACAAAGATGCTTTTGATCAACAAGGGATAATAAGCACAAAAAAATAAATTTAGAAAAATCAAATAGAAAAATAACATCCGTTGAATTGAAACATTGGTGTGGAAAAAGGGGGTTTGTATTTTTACCTTTAAAATGATCTCCCTTTTTTGCAAATACTGTCATAGTTCACATTTTCATAAAAAGTTCATGTTGGCAGTTGCAAAAGAATTCAATTCTTAGCAAATAAAAAGCAGCATAAAAATACAAGAGGTCATTTTGTCTCTAAAAAACAAAAGAACACTGTTAGTCCTTTTTTATGTTTTTTTTTCATTTTCTCATTACTATTTGCTATAAAATATCAGGAATCTAAATATTATTACTATTGATATCAATATCATTATAGTCATTGATAAAAATTCACATGCCAGGCCTCATATATAATTGTGTGTGTAAGTGTGTGTGTGTGCACACGTGCGTACATTTGTGTTTGTTAGTGTGTGTGTGTGTGTGTGTGTGTGTGTTCATACATGTCTGTGTGTGTGTGTTTACATGTGCCCGTGCGAGCACATGTTGCTTAATTGTGTACAACTATCATCTACAGTCTCTATTTGGGGGAAGGTTGTTTGATTGTATGTTTCTGTGGACGATTAGCTACTGTGCAGGGAAAAAATCCAGCATCTTTTGAAATTGTCTTTGCCATAATCATTAGAGTTTCTTCACGTAATCTCAGTGAAAATATTGCTTTCTAAAAAAAGGGAAGAAAAAAGGCATGGAGGGCAGAGTGAACAGGGTTATTGGTTGTGAACCTACAAGAGGGGTTCAAAACTTTGCTTCTTCCTCGTGGTTAGTTTTCTGATCCAGAGTCGTCTTCGTCTGCTGAGCCCTTGAAGCAAGCTGACTCATAGTGCTTGTTCAGGTAGGACTTGAGAGCGAAGGTCTTATTGCAGCGCTTGCATCTGTAGTGCTTGAAGGCAGAGTGTGTTTGCATGTGGGCGCGGAGGTTTGAACGGTCAGCAAAGGCTTTGCCACAGTGTGCGCAGGCAAAGGGCTTCTCCCCCGTATGCGAGCGCATGTGACCTTGAAGGAGCCATGGCCGGCTGAAGGCCTTGCTGCACACATCGCACTTGTGCTTGAGGTCGTGGGTGAGGATGTGCATGGCCAACGCCGGCATAGACACATATACTTTATTACAGGTGGGACACTTGCGGGCCATCTTGCTGTCCAGGCTGCGGTGCGTCTGCTTGTGTCTGCTGAGGTTGGAGGAGGTGGCGTACGTCTTGCCGCACTCGTTGCAGGTGTGGCGAGGCGTGCCAGCTCCCCTCTCCTGAGCCCCAGCGTTGGCACTGCTGCTTCTTGAGCCCCCTCCTTGACTCTCGCTGTCTCCCTTCCGCCTCGAGCGCCCATCAGAGATGAAGAAGGCATCCATGGTGTAACCCTCGGCCAGGGCCTCCGATTCACCACTGTAGAAGCCGCTGGCTGTCATGCCAGACTGGGGGCTGTCGGGGTGCTTCAGGTCAGGGTCACAGTACTCCCCTCCGCTGCTCACCTGGGTGTAGAGGGGATCTGACACTGGCGAAGCCAGCTTGTGCTCCATCTTCTTCTCCTCCTGGTATACAGATGGCGTGATGTAATCCTGGATGTAGCCTGGGTAAGAGACACACGCAAACACAGTTGGCCAGGGGTTGTGATGGATAAGGACACAGTGACATGCTGGTGATTACATGATTATAATGTTGGATGGTTGCCCTGCGTAAAATGGTGAAAGAGTGAGTGGCAGCACAGAGTTAATTGCATTTTTTCCAGAACTCACAGGTTGTATGCACAAAAGTGCAGTGATGCAGGGAAACATGACACGCTCAGCTGCGTTCAGGAAGGTTGCAATTTTACAGTGCGGATGAGCGCTAGATAATAGCTCATCAATGTAGTCTCCTGTGTAAGAAGATGCATATTAAAGCCCCTCTTAAATAAAGTAGTCTCATTGATTAGACCTCCCTTTCTTCATCTATGTGATATTAGTCCTCTGTGGCTGGGCCTTATCTCCATGTTTGCTTAATAAATGCTCTGTAAGTGCTGGTATTACAAGTCAAAGAGACAGGATTATGTTTCAACTCTAAACCTTAATAAATACTTTATTTCACCAGAACTTTATTTTGGCAGGGGTTTTGTATTTTTTATGTGTTCTAAAAAAACAACAACCTTAAAACCAAGTTACATCTCTGATTTGAAAGTGATTTCTCTGTTGATGTTTTTTGCTGCAAACAAATAGATTTTCTGGTTTAGGACCAGATGAACTTGTTACATATAGCTGCTCACATCCTGTAGGATTTCATGCTACTTCTTTAAGCAGGTTTAAGATGCCGCAAAAGCACAAAGCGCCACAAGTGATTTAAATGTCTCCAACTGTACAGAGCATGATTTCAGAGAGATATATTTTTGTTGGCATCATTCATGTCTCTCCTTTTCCTCCGAAGCAGCCCAGTGCCAAAGGAGCTAAAAGGCTTGCTGGCAGCTAAATGCATCCTAACAGAACTCAATACATTCTTATGCTGTGAATCTCAGGAGCTTAATAAATACTAAATGAATTTTACCCCCAGGTTTGATATTCTACAAGTTGAACATATGAGTGCAAATATAAAATGTGGTGAAATTCCTTTCCTGAGAGAAATAATGCATAACTGCAGAAAAAAGGCATTCCTAAGCACTGTGTGCAGCAAGCGGTGGAAATTAGTTATTGACTGCCTTTTAATGAAATTCAAAGTTTAGAACTGATCAATAGGCTATCATATGTAAAATAGTGCAGCTATTAGAAGAAGTCGAGCGCTGGAGAGGACAGAAATACTGCGAGGAACAGATCAAGTATCTGCGACACACAATAATAGTTTATTGAGCACAGTGTGCTTGAGGCCGGATAATGTGAGACATGGCATTACACACATTGTTTGTGAAGAGGGGTCACCTGTCTACAGCAGCAAGGTACGCTGAAGTACCTTCAAGAAACAGGCCATTAAGAAATCAGTTGAAGTGCTCTCTTACTACAGCGTCTCCATTCCCAAGGGTTTCTGTTCACACACCCACTTTGTCAAAGACATGACCACGACACCCGGGGACAGGGAAACACCAGGCCTGTGCACACATTATTATGCTGCACCGCGTGGGTTCACTGTTTTAAACTACACAGATGGTGTTTGTCCGAGAGAGAGAGAAAGAGAAAGAGACACTTTCAAAAAACAAAATTTTAAAAAGAAGAAATATATTTATTTCTCTTTTTGTATACTAAATTCTTACAAATTTAATTCAATTTACAAATGCTGCAGCTTATACAACTATCCGTGACTACATCCACCTGTTTTACAGTCACACTGTAGACTATACTATAGTCATAAATATAGCAGAAGGCCTCTGCACTACTGCAACAACATGGCCTTTATTGTGCAGATATATATATTTTTTAATAGAACATACTATATCAGTGTAAGCAGAGTTGTTTACTATGTTTCAATTACTCAAGGTCAGACACGGAGCTCATCATTTAGGACTTGCGCTGTATCAGCCTTTACAGCTCATAGACTCATTTCTCTAATGCAAAGTAAGCATGTAATTAATGGACCCTCTCAGCCACCCCTCTTTGTTGTTCGACAGACACTCAAGTCAAATGTCTCCACAATGGGGGAAAAGAAAATCTGCTGGCACGGCAGAAGTGCTGATGTTAGGTATTTCAGCCACGCTGAGATTTCTTTTATTTTGCTTCTTTATTTCTCAGCATGAAAAAGGACAATTCTTTTGTTGAAATTAAACGCCTTTTGTCAACATCGATGTAGTGCCTTATCATACTTTTCTTCTTTTTAATATAATGCTTATTTTTCATGGTGTTGAACAAAAGATTCAGGAACAATAGAGAGTGATAATAATTATACAAATGGATTTTTAAAATAATATGATCAAATCATAGCGCAGGAAATCTAAATAACATTCATGATAAGCTTCAAAATATGCCTAAATATAGAAAATGCATGTTTGTATTTTTTGCCACAATTATTGAGTTAGTTGGGTTTAATATAGCAGATCGTTATAGTTTACAAACCAGTCCAGACATTTGTGTTAATTCTACTAATCCTGATCCATCTAAAATTCCCTGAGCTTTGTTATTGACACGGTTGAATAACAGGTGGGCATCATGACAACATTTAGCTGTGGACTGTGAAGCGTCCCTCACTGTGAAAATATCCTGACAAATCATAACAAAGACACACATATGGCCCTCTAAACGTGGCCACAAAATGGAAGCGGCGAGCTTAAAGCAGACTGTGGAAAGTGAAGGTCGCCTCTCAGCTCTGACTGGAGCTTACTCTGGCCGGCCCGTGTGTTGACCACAGTGCAGCTATGTGCCTTTCTTCATGTTTACTGTACAACCTCTGTCACGTGATCAAGCCTCATTGCTGCCCCAAGCATTTTTGTCTCCTTTTTCTCCTTCTCTTTGCTATCCCTTCAGCCCTACTCCCCACCTCCCTCTCCGCTGTACTGTACAGTGTGTTGATGTCTCTTGTGGCGACGATAGGCCTGCACGGCTGAAACTCTAACCCCTGCTAGTTTTCAAATGCCCGGAAGGAAGAGAAAGATGTAGTGGAGCGATGGGGGTGGGGAAACTGTGCATGCTCCATTTGGATGGGAAGAGGGGGGCAAGGGAGGATCGGACCGTGATGGGAACTCAAGGACAATAACAGCTAAGGACAAATGTATCATCCGATACTCATCTCTCATATTCATGAATTTTTTAGTCCACATGATGACCAGATATATCAGCCTGTGTGTGTGTTCAGACAACACAAGGTTGGTACAGTCATAGAAATACGTAACTGGAGCTTTTCCTGATTATACACACGTTTTGTCCCCTATTTACATAAGCTAATCCGTGGCTGTGACCTGAATTGTGTCCGTCCTTCACTGGAGTCAAAAAACAAAAGTCTGGGAGCAGGATGATGGGGGTGGGGTGCCTCTGGAGAGGATTATTTAGGATATTGATGCAAAAATCAGCTAGCTGCATGTAACATCTCACACTAATTTACACACTAAGAGCATGTTATCGGCTGAAGCAAAAGAAAATCTCACCCAACACAAAAACAAAAGAGGATGCCATCTGTGCTAAGAGTAGAAATGTCAGGCATGCTGAAATCAGCACCGGGTCTGTCTACAGGCAGGAGTGCTAGCACATCTTTAACTAGAGCGCGGCAGACTGGAGGCATGTTAACTCACCATTCTCGCTGAGACGAACCCCAAGGCTGGTCACCGAGTCTGTGATGGAGCGTGCAAAAGTGAACGAGTCGTCCAGGTGGTGATGATGATTGGAGGTGGCCACATTGGACGAAGAGAAATCATCAAGCTTGATCTTCTTCACCAAAAATGAGCGGGGCATGTTTCAATGGATAAAAACACAGAGCTGAGAAAAACGCATGAGAGAAAATAAAAGACCCTCTGAGGAAGCACACAAGCAGAGCTGGCTTGACGGTAATCCTTTTGGTTAATGTGAAGACAACGGCCAAAAACATAAGATAAGAAAGAAAATGGAAACCAGTGGAGAACAAGGCTGACGGCAACGCTGTGTGATACTCTCTGGCTCCCCCAGCTTCCCCCAGAAAAATAAAAAAATAAAAAATAAAAGCGATCCTGTTCAGCACTGGATAGCTCCTGTGATGCAGCAGGCTTGAGGGACCAGTGAGGAAGAGAAGAGATGGAGACAGACAGAGAGAGGAGGGAGAGAGCGACTGTCAGACTAGCTGAGATCAGCAATCACGCCAGCCTTTATATGGGGCACAGGCAGTGGAAGATCAGGTGGTGCTGCGAAATGGAGCTGCTTAGCTTTAATCCATCAAATGTCCCCGGGGACACACATCAAATTAC